CTTGTATCCTTAGGCAATAGAGCTCCGAACTCCTTTCCCTCACTTTACTGCTGCCCTCTTAGGACCTGTACCTGCAAGTGGAAATTCTTTCTGATCATATTTCACAGTCCTCTCTTTCACCCAGAACATGTCTAACCTGTGATTAACAGTTCCCAGACATCTTCATTCATGACATTACTGTTTATAGGCCATTATTTTCAGGTGAGCCCAGATCACAACCTGGCTACCAAAAGAGGTCAGAGAGTCCAGTTTTGGATGCAGCACAACACTGCTCACTCTGTGCTGTAAAAGCATGAGCTTTACACAGCAATAACCCTAAAGACCACATGAAATGGCAAGCTGCTCTCTAAAGGTCCTTCATAAAACAAAATATTTCTATGCAATTCTCTTCTTCAGTATATGATGGAACAGTGCAGAAATGCCTGTGAGCTGAACTCAGATGTCTGGTTTAGAAATACACTTTGTTCAAGTGCCCGAAATTCCATGAAGTGAGAGAGGAAGAATCCCAATAACTGCAGGAATCACTTTGTACTGAAGCCCCAAACTAAATAATATGCAATGGGGTCCATGGCACGATCTCTCCAGCAAGGCAGAGGTAAGGCCTGAAGTTAAGATGCAACTTGAATAACTCTGGGCAGGGAGTGTGAATGTGTACAGTGCTTCTCAATGCTAACTGAACTATAATTTAGAACTGGCATTGCTGACAGACAGAATGGGAAGGTGTAATAGCAGCTATACAATATTTTTTTAGATTCTCAATTGCATGCAGTCCCTGTAAGTAAAATTTTTTTTTCAATTTTATCTCCTTACTTGCTCATTCAATTCTCTTTCTCAAATATTTTCTGAGCTCTTATCTTGCTACCCTTTCAGTCCTTCTAAAATGCTGTTGCTATGTAGGTGCTGCACTGGGACCAGACTTTCAAAGTTGCTCCCTAAATTCCTACAGTCCCATTTGTTTCTTTGCTTTCTTTCTTGCTTTATACAAACCACTATGCATATAATGTATTATTCTATTCTTCAGTTTGGCTCTCTCCCTGATGGGATATCTTCATCTTGAATGTTTCTAAAAATTAATGCATCTGTAGTGCAGTTTTTGCTCCATGCCTGGACCTTCATTAGCATAATGGTAGGATAGATGCACATTGAACTAGAAGTTGATTTAGTGCAGTGCTTCAGTTCCTATTGGAAGGTCACAACTCAATTTCATTAAAGACTAAGAGTAAAGCTGCTGGCATACACTGTCATTGTTTGGTTCCTATTTAAGCCTTCGAAAACAAAAATTAGCATTTAAAATGCTGAAAAGTGTAAATTACTAAGCCCCTAGGCACCAGAAATATCCACAGAGTAGGACTCAAAGAAGGTCAGCCTTGCTGGTTTACCCTGGATTACGTGGTATCTGCAGTGACACACCATGCTTGGGATTCTTCCCACACACAACTTTGTTGACGTTAGCAGCCAAGTAATTATGCTTTTGAACAGCAATGTTACACTCAGATTGGATTTCCCCAGCCAGATCCGGGGCTGGCACTGAATCACTACCACAGGGTGGCCATTCCTAGGGAAATCTCTTTTCAACACATCGGTACAACCCCTGTATCTAGAGGTGATGACACACCAGTGATGAATCTTTAGCTAACCTCAGAAGTTTTCAATTTACCTTTCATTCTTTCATTCTTTTGTTTTCCTGGTAGAAAGGTATTAAAAATATTGCTTTAATAAAGATTTCTGCCTTCTATTTCAGGCTTTAATGTTGTCCAGTTACTTGTTTAATGGCTTTGACTTATAACAAAGAGATTGGTAAAATGTCTCATCCTTTGTCATGATCAGGTAGCAGCTCATTGAACTTATAAATCAAAACAAAATCATAGAATGGCTTGGTTCAGAAGACATCTTAGGAGTCTCATTCCAGCCCCTCCATGACATGGACAAGGACACCTTTTACTAGACCAGGCTGCTCAGGGACTCATGCAACCTGGCCTTAACACTTCCAGGGATGGGGCATTCACACCTTCTCTGGGCAACCTGTTTCAGTGCCTCACCACCCTCACAGTAAACAATTTCTTCCTAATATCTAATCTAAACCTCCTTTCTTTCATTTTAAAGCCATTACCCCTTGTTGTATCACTACACACCCTTGTCAAAAGTCCCTGTCTATTGGCATCATCATGGAGAGATACTGTCAAATTGTTGTAAACAGTCTGCCACTGTCCAAATACAGCCTCATCAAACAGCATAGAAGTGGATATGCAGGTGCTGCCATGAAGCAGATCATCCTTATGGCAGCATGCTGAATTCTGGAGCTGGTTCTCCCCACCTCCTGCCCTAAGCATTGCACAGACTGGAAGGTCTGATCCAGATTTTGCTGCCCACATGTGATTAAGCAAGCTGTATGGCCATATATTCAAGCCATATAGAGTCCTCACTCCAAGACAGAAGTCTGCATATTATAGCTATATTACTATCTATGACACTTGATTAAAAACTCTTGCCAGTGTTCCTAAAACAGAGTTCTGAGTCTCGAGGATTACTGTCTAATCACAGCACTGTCCTGAGCACATGGGAGAAATTAAATAGCTATAGAGTAAGATCAAAGTGAGGAGGACAGCATAGGTGAGTTTTCCTAATGCTCAAGAGACTGAACAGACTGCAGAACACACCAGAAATGAAAACAAGCTCTGGCTGGAGAGACATGAGTCAGAGGCTGACTGCCTCTGAGCGAGGCACACAGATGACTGCTCTGCATTGCTAGTAATGTGGAAACACATGGAGTGCACCCAGGGCAGCTGCTGCCACACACTTAACTACTGAAAAATGTGTAAGGAGAACACAAAGTCCCCAGATCAAAACAATTCTCACAGAACTGAACATAGGTCATTCTATTGCCTGATGCAACCTCTATGACACACTGCCAACTGTATAATACACTATTCTATACCTTAAATATTAAATTTTTGGATTGTGTTTAAACAGAAGGGACTCCACTAGAAGTAAAAATTGAAGTACATACATAAGAAGGAGCAGAAGTTTCATCCAGTGCAGCTATCATTTCTAGGGCACAGAAGAGGTAATTCTTCAACTTCTTTAATGAGATATGCAAGGTAAGAGAAAAGGATTGGTAGATTTGTAGGAAAAACTGGTACATATTACTTTATTTTTCTTGCAGTAATCAGTTGTCTACCAATTTTGTATTTTAGAACAAATTCCTGACAAGTTCTTCAATGTGTAGAGGTAATTCACAGTTTAAGTTTTCAAAGATGATTCATCTTTATCAAAACACTAGAAATATTGTCATCTGCTTATTTCTAGATAAATCTTAAACTCAGTTCAATGCAGTTTTGTTAGCAAAGGACTTAACTAAATGGCAAAGGCTTCCATCAGAAATCTCAGCTCTCTGCCCTTCAGAACACAGTTGATGAAAAGGCACTCTCTGATATATCTCTGTAGAAATAAAACATTTGTTCCATCTTTTCAGTACTCAATCATGATCATCTTCATCTTCGCTGCTAGTGAAGTGGAAAGACCTGGAAATGGGTTCTGCTTCCTTTTTTAATGGTGCAAAAGAGTGATTTCATCTTATCTGAGTTTCACCCATTACTTTCCCTGGCTTTGTAGCTATCCTGAATCATTTCCCTCTATTCTGTGCTTTCACCAAAATTAGAGAAAGTGAAATGCTTTGAAGGATCAAACTTAAACACGTTTGCAGACACTTTCTGTTACAAAGCCTGGAAAAACAACCTTCCTATCTATTTGCACTCAAAGAAAATTCTTTGTGTCAGGAAGTGGCACTAAAACTTCTTTCCCTTCCTCCCCCTATTCCAGCTTTGTTGTCTTTCTGACATAAACTTATTAACTCTTCAACAGTTGGAGAGGAAGAAAAAATTGTAGTTTTTCATCACAAGGTGAGAAGCTCTATATTTCTCCTATTCTTTATAAGAGATTTGCAAGTAATTTTGGGACTGCAATTTTCTGTAGTTTAATCATAACTTGCAGAAATGTTGCAGGAACCAGAATGGTTCCTACAGAAGACAGGAGAGGAATGGGGAAGAGAACCTGAGTGCTGAGGCTGTAGTTAGATATCTGAGATATCCCATGCACTTCTTTTAATTTCACACAAAACTCCTCCTTAGATGTTAAACTAAACCCTATATCCAAAGCTTGTATTTTCTACTTTCTTTTACTATGACTTTTGAGCAGTTTCTGCCTCTATCCTGTCTTTGTTAGATGGGTTTCAGACCCACTCAGAAAATTATACCAAATGATTACTGAATAGAAAAGGTGAAACATGATTAATATTCTGAACATGCAGTTAGCCAGAAAAACGGGAAAAGCAAGCTGTTTTCTTCTCTTACACAGAAGCAAGGAGAAAAAAGATCTATCAAGACTGAAAGACTGTGGGCTGTTTTGTCTAGGGATGGGAGAACTGAGGAGAAACATCAGAGTGGTCTTCAAAAAGAAGAAAGGCATCTGCAATGACAAACGGAATCCTTGATGCCATGACCTCTGTGTAAAAAGCAAATGTAATTGTTTCAAATTACACAAGCTAGAAATTTAGGTTAGGCATCAGAACAGACATTACAATAGCAAGGATAATTGAGCACTGGAGGAGACTATGAAATAACCACCAGAGAAGGTTTTAAAAAACAGTCTAGACAAAAAACAGCCTGGAAAGATATGGCTACAACAGAAGCTGAGTAATGGACTAAATGCTTTTTAGACCAGTGCTTTTTAATGACTTGGTGATTCTCTTAGACTTATGGTCTATTCAAGCCCTGAACTATTCCCTGGAAATAAAACTAAACACAAAGAGTTGATTACTCTATATTTTATAATAAAATAAGAGACACTGAAATTTTTCCACCTGATCCAAAATGTAAGTGGGACAAAACCTTGATCCATGTTTTGCATCTGGAGGTACCAGCAAGCACCCTTCCTTTGTCTGCTCACCTGTAGCACCTGCAGTTTTTTACACACTGCTCTGTTCTTCTGGCACAAAGACTTACCATCATGTTTTCATGAATGTCTTATTTAGCCCAAAGTGGTCCAAAATTGTTCCTAGAATGGAAATGAGGTAATTGGCAGACAGCAGCAGAACTGTCAACAATTCAGTCATTTTATTAACGACTATACAAGTGTTTCATCTCATATATTATGCAACTGTACTTATGACTGCCTAACTTCAATGACACCAGAAGAGAAAGGACAGCCCAATACAATGTCAAAAGAAGAAAAACAAGCTCTTCCTTTAAACATGATCAAAAGATCTTGATTTCACGGTTGGCTTGCTGAAGGGATCCTTATCATGCTGCAAGTTACGTAAGCCAGCACTGGGAGCAGAAAACAGTGAACTAAAAAAAAAAAAAAAAACAAAACCAAAAAAAAACTCTGAAAGACAAATGCACAGCTTCCATGCCCTGAGACTGCACAAAAAAATTTATATAGAAAAAACATTTTAGGAGATCAAAGCCCCTCTATATTCATAAGAACATGTGAATCTCTAGAATTCTTACCTTGGTTCTCAGGAACTGCCAAGCACAGCTTTCTAATGTCTTGGTGTGCATTTTCTGGCTGGAACCAGAGTCAGCATTCAGAAGCTGTATCTCCTAAGTGCCCAGTTTGCTGGGCACACATCTCTCTGCGTTTTGCATTGCTGAGGGACTTTTGACCAGCATTAACACACAGAAAAGCCCACCTGGATAATTTTGAGATGAACAACAAAGGGATTATCTCTGATAAAGTTGTTATAATTTTACCCAGCTGTAGAAAGAAGCATAGGGTATTTTTGAGAGATTATCCCAGACCATGTGTGTTACCGGGAGACAGAGAAATATGGGCACAACAGGTCAGATTTTGTGAAAATCCAGAACTGCCTTGTACAGATCACTTGACAGTTTGAGAGGAACTACTGACAGCAACCTCTGTAATTTCTTTCTTGACATTTTCCAAAGAAAAAAGAATTACTTTATCAATTAAAGATATTTTCTTAGAATTTCTGCTGTATCTCCAACACACAGCCAAAAACATCAATACGAACTTGCCCATAACTTCAAAGTGTCTGAGTAAGTTCCCATGAAAAATAACCCTCCAGCAACAGTGTCTGAAATGCTTTTTCCTTCCTACCTGCAAAGCAGCAGGAACCGTGGTGTGTGATTACGTGACTGTTTTCACTGAGCTGTGGCCTTCCCAACTAGAAGCACAGGTAAACACAGAAAAAAGGCCAAGGCTTGGATCAATTATGTCATATGTGATGGTCTCAAATGACTGTGACATATTTTGTATGATATATAACTGCATCAAGAATAAAGTTTTTTCCTCACTGTCCAGTATTTGGTTTCCACAGAAATTCTCAAGTTCTGGCCATTCGTTTTTCTCTCCAACAGCTGTGAAAAGAACAAAACAAAACAAAACACTCTTTTTTTATTGCCACACTTTACTTTTTCTTTTTACTTCAGAAATATCCTCCTAGGATGATGTGTGTATTCTCCTTTAGGCAGTGTCTCTGCCATAGTAATATCACAGTGACATAGCATTTATTGAAAATGACAGTCTGACAGATGGTAGGGCACACCCTTTAATCCTAGTTCTTGACAGTGTAGTATATTGTACATCTGATGCCAAAGAATGTTTTTCTCCTGTATGCAAATACATGTGATCCCTGAAGCCTTCAAACTCCTAAAAAAAGATGGAACTGTTTCAGTTGCAAAAAACACCCTTAGATGCATCACCCTTAGATGGTCAATCAAATGTGTTTGGTTTGATAGGTATTACACGGTATTGTACCTTACTAACTGAAGAGTTAGATAGGAAGAGGGAAGGAGAGGGAAAGAAAGAGATTTTGAGAAGTTTTTGAAATGTTCCTTCGGTGCATGTGTCAGGACACAGCAGCTGACTGCTGTAAGAAACTACAGGAGATCACAAGGCACATCCAGGACAACCAGTGGATCAGGTCCAGCCAGCATGAGCTTGTGAAAGGCAGGTTCTGCTTGACCAGCCTGATGTTCTATGACAAGGTGAGACACGCTCAGCGGATGAAGAAAGACTGTAGATGCTGTCCACCTGGACTTCAGTAAGCCCTCTGACACCATTTCCCACAGCATTCTCCTGGAGAAACTGCTCTGGCTTCAATGGGTGCACTGCTCACCAGGTAAAAACAGTCTGGATGGCTGGGCCAGAGCTGGTGGTGAATGGGGTTACATCCAGCTGGCAGTCAATCACGAGAGATGCTCCCTAGAGCTCAGTGTTGGGGCCAGTCCTGTTCAATACTTTTACTGATGATCTGGATGGGGTCTCAAGGGTATCTTCATTCAGTTTGCAGATGACACCAAATTGGGTGGGAGTGTTGATCTACTAGGAAGGGTCTATAGAGTGGTCTGGACAGGCTGGATTTATGGGCTGAAGCCAACTGTATGAGGTTCAACAAGGTGAAGTGCCAGGTCCTGCATTTGGGTCACAATAACCCCCTGCAGCACTACTGACTTGGGGAAAAGTGGCTGTAAAGCAGAAAAGGACCTGGACATGCCGGTTGACAGCTGGCTTAACATGAGTTTGCCGTACTCAAGTGACCAAGAAGGCCAGTGGCACCTGGCCTGTATCAGAAATAGTGTGGCCAGCAGGATGAGGGCACTGGTGGCCCCTGACACTAGTGAGGTCACATCTTGAAGCCTTTGCCCAGTTCTCGGCCCCTCACTACAAGAAGGACATGGAGGTGCTGAAGCATGCCCAGAGAAGGGCAGCGGAACTGGTGAACATCCTGGAACATGAGTCCTACAAGGAGTTGCTGAGGAAGTGGGGATTGTTGAGCCTGGAGAAAAGGAGGCTCAGAGGGGACCTTAACACTTTCTACAGCTACCTGAAAGCAGACTACTCACAGGTAAAAAGTGGTAAAATGAGAATACAGGCTCAAGTTGTGCCAGGACAGGTTCAGATTAGATATCAGGAAAATTTTCTTCACTGAAAGACTTTCCGAGCATTGAAACAGGTTTCCCAGGAAAGCGGTGAAATCACCACCCCTAAAAGTGTTCAAAAAACACACAGATGTTTAGAGTGTTTAGAGGCATGGTTTAGTGGTAGACTTGACAGTGCCAAGTTAATGATTGGACTTGATGATCTTAGAGATTTTTTCTAACCTCAATGATCCTATGTTTCTGTGAGTAAAATGGTCTTTCATGGCACATGTTTCAACTCATCAAGTGCCAGAATTAAGATATCAGAAAAATAAGGTGCACAAGCAATTTCTCTCTTCATCACAAAGAAAAATGCAAATTTTTCCCAGATGACAATAATTAGGCTGAAAGGAAGAAAAGGAAAAAGGATAAAAAAAAGCAGTGTTTTCTTTGTTTAGGGTTTTTTTCCCTGCTTATTTCCATAAAAACAATATGGATGTATTCAAAAGGTAGGGTAGGCAATATAAATTATAAATTATTTGACAATCCTTCCTCTGAATCAGAACCTTACTTCATGATTACTGTCCAAATTAAACTTACATGCTTACACATTAAATATATGTACAGCATAACATATCTTCGTGATCCTATGCACTGGAGGATCATCAGAGGAATTTCCAAGCCAAAAGTTTGGTGTCTCCCACCCTAGGAGATATGCAGGAAAGCAAGTGCCTTTCAGAGTAACCTCAGAACCATGCAGTGAATTATATAACTGTTTAAGTACTGCTTGCCCTAAACCCATTGCTTTAGCAGTTAGGGCTCAAGTGAGGAGTTTCAGATTCAGAGTGTCTCTTGCCTAACCCATTGCCTCTCACTGAAGTATACATCCATTGCCCAAAAAACCATGCAGACCAGCTGCCCTATGAATTTGGAGAGAGATGGAGGGATGAGGCATTTAAGCTGGGAATTGGAGAAGAAAAAGAAATCATTGGTTTTTGGGCTTTGATGGGAAAACAGAAGGCTGAACTTGAAAAAGAGGAGGTCTTCTGGGGAAATTCATTTAATGAGATGGGGTAGTTCAAGAAGCACAGTCAAACTTGTACAGGTAAAAGGCTTTGCAAATTAAATGCATGTGCATGTCTGAAAACCTGCAGAGAGTAACTTAAACACTGACTTTTTTTGGACCACTGCACACAGAAATTACACCCAACTCATATAGGATGGGTTCTCTGTTTTGGAGGGAGTAGAACCATACATTTTCTCTGCATCACCTTCTCTGTATCTCTCTAGTGGTTCCCTCCCACAAGGCACCTTCACTTTTCTCTTAGGTTCTCTCAGATTTTCTTTGTCTATCCAGCTTACACTGCTTTTCCACAGCATTAACCAACAGTATGTTCTTCTCAGCTTCAGTGTCAGGAATGTTCCCCATCTGCAGATAAACTATAAGGCAACCAAATTTTAATTTCCTAACTAAATTTTAATTTTATATAATCATATTAATTCTATATAATAAAACATAATATAATAATATTTAAAATAATATTTTAATTTTATAGTTCAATGTTTTATAAGGATACAAGAAGAGCTGTAATGGATGAATGCAAAGGTCCATCCAGCCCAGTAGGTTCTACGCTGGGAAGAGGAATTTAGCGTTGTGAGTGCTACTTGGTTTTGAGTTGGAAGCAGCTAAAAGGATGGAGGCAACTGTCCCTTATTCTTAGTCAAAGAGCATTTGACATATCTCCAGAATGAACAGAGAAGGTCTTCTTTAAGCAAGCATCCATCTGTATGCAAAAAAACATTCATGTGATTTGTTCTCAGTACACCCCTACCACACATCAGTGAATCAGTTATGAGCTGACTCCTTCCAACCGTTTGTGGCTTCTTGTTTGTGGATTCATGCCTTGCCTAAATTGAAATCAGCAGGAGCATCTACTCCTAGACATAATCTGGCTGTGTCAGTTGCCAACAGCAATTACAGGAACTCATGGGGAACTTTGGCTGCAGGTTACTGAAACAGATGTCAGTTGTAACAACACAGGCATGAGCCTGAATTTCAGAGTGCAAGCAGCCCAAGGTGCCATGTGCAAGTTATATGGACCAACAGGTCCAGCCACAAGTCAGACCACCACCTAAAAATCACAATTTGCAGCCATCATTCAGTTCAAGCCCTACTTTCATCTGCCTCATGGAATCACATATCGCAGGAGTAAAATGCTTTTTCATTTCCTATTGAGGCTTTTTATCCTTACCAGAGGTATGAAAAGTAGAGAGGTGGAGATGTGACAACAAGCAACCAGAAACATAAGTGCATTGCTATTGCAGGAGGACAGTCATTCTAGGAATAAGGCTAATAAAATTTAGAGATTAATTGTACTGGAAGACTTCTTTTTAATTTATAGAATTTTAAAGCAATTGAAGCCAAGAAAATGTTTCTGAAAGCTTTTGCTATTATCACTCACAAATTCCCATTTCTGCTCTGCATAGGTGAAAACAGGAAAACATCTTAAAAACATCTTAAAAATGCTGAATATGCTTATCCAAATAATCAGTACAGGCCTGTCTGTCACATGTTAAAACCTGTATGGAGCCTGCCCCACCTAATTTTCTATTCAATCTTATGGCTACAAGCAGAGTCCCCTTTTTCTGAGGTAAAAACCCCTAAGGTTCAACACAGTGGAGTGAGTTTTACCACACCTTACATTCCACCACAAGTCAGGCCCGGGTCTACAAATTCTTCAAACAAAGAAACCCACTACTCATCCCAGCCCTGAGAGTATATCCTGTACTTTCTCTGAGTAGCACTTCTCCCCTAGGGAAAGCCACAGCAGGTACTATGTAGCCCGTTTTCTGCATTATCTAAACATCCTGAAGGAGTGCTAGGGCAGCCTGAAGAAAACAGCTCCCCACATACCAGCTGTTGTCCTGCTACACACAGGCAGCAACCAATCTGAAACTTCTGAAAGGAGTTCAGCACAAAGTAAATGTTTTCCACTAACAGAAAAAACAGTAATCTCACTGATTACACACAAATTAACTGAAATGGGCCATTGCCATAAACATTGCCTATGAAAAAGACTAATTTTATATGTAACTAGGCAAATTACTAACTGAAAACTCTCTTTAGCTTCTGTCTACTTTACTCAAACCAAGGCTAGGAGAGGTCCCATCCTTCCTACCAGAGAAGGACATCAAGCACTGTAAAGCCTTAGCAGGGAAAGACTACAAGAGGAAGGTGGAAGGAGTGTGACATTTAAGGATGGCACACTGAGCATGGAGAGGCAAACTCATCAAACCTTGTGTGCAAACCCTTAACTAAAAAACAGTGACACCCTAACTCCCTGCTCCGGTGAGTCAGATTGCCTTACATCCATGCTCACAGGGAGAGAGGGTACTCCTTTTGTCTAATTGTCTGCAGGTGTAACTCCCCATGTCAGGAAAACTCAGCAAACAGTAGCCACACCAAATATTGGCTGTGCTTTCCATCTTTTTCTACTTTGTGACTATTTGATTTCTCCCCCTGTGCTCCTGGAAGATTCAAGAGATGCTGGAGTGGTGGGTACTTTGTGCCTACTCTGCCTGCCTAAGTCAGACCTTGGCACAGTTTCAAGCTTGCCCAAGCATCTATTTTAAACAACATTTAAAACCTAAGGTAATGTCAACCAAAAATGTATTTCCTTTTACAAACTGCATTAACCTTGAGGTGAATTAAGACATGTGCATTTTTTTAATTCTGTGCCAGTATTATCCTACCTGTAGAGTATGAATAAATTTTATAGGTTTTGAAGTAAATGGGTTGCATTTTGTATATTTTTAGATCTTAAAAAAGGAATACATATTTGGAAAGCCTAACTCTACATGGATGTTAAGAAATACAGGATACAATGTTGAAGAGCCAGGGACAAATCTGGCCTCGGGTCTTTCACCTCTGCTGCTGATCACCACCCTCTTGGCTTGAGAGGTGGCAACAGAGATCTGACAAGTCAAATAAAATAACAAGCTATTTTACACTCACACACACACACACATATATATATATATGTAGATATATGCCAAACCAGTAGTTTGGTACAATAACCAAAGTAATTTGGTTGCTAATTTGGAGGCTTTGTCACATCCAAATAGTCTCTCATCCCACATTATCACCAAACTGCCAAAAGCTAAGGTAGTTTTAAGACATATAAATACATTTCTAAAGGGAAAATTTATCTTTGCTACAATTCATCTCTTTCAAAGTTCAAAATTATACTAAAAAGTTGATGAGAATGATGAGTGCTTTCCAGTGCCAAAGTCTGAGGGAAGTTTTGACTGGTCCCAGGATAGGGGTAGAATGGGTGGGAACAGCAACACAACTGCATTCCTATAGGAGATCCCTAAGCCCTCATATAAGCACAAAAATCACACCAAAAAAGCAGTGAGTTATGCACTCAGAGAAAAGGGGTTTGTAATGGGAGTCACCTGGAGATTAGCTGTTTAGTCTCTGAAACAGGTACATACACAACATCAAATGGTACAGTCAGCACAGAACAGCCCACCCTCTGGAGACAGGCAGCTGCACTTGTTCGTAGGGATTACAAGGAAATGAATTCTCCTGGCAGAATAATTTGTTTAAGGCTTCTCTGTTTTCTCAGTTCTTTTGTAACATCCCCAGGTTGGCCAAGAACCATTATCTATCTTCCCTTTCAGGCAAGTGACCCAGGCAGGACCCACACTTCAGCAGCTGCACAGTTTGATAACCATTTTCTAAACTCTACTTGGTAGTGGGCTGCTGCAGACAAGTGTGAGCAGACTGAAAAAGTCTCTAGTTAAAACGGTAGCACAGAAAACACCGAGCTTGTCCAGATAAACAGCCATCGCTGTATATTCTGCAAACTAGGTGTAAATATATCTCTGATCGGCTCGAGCCATGCCTCAGCCTAGACAGACAGCATGGTCCCCACGGCAGAGGACACCAGCAGAGCTCCCAAAAATAAAATTCTATGTGTGTGAAAGAAATTAGCTGTAAAAAACCCAACAAACATGCATGAATCCTACTTTACTGGAGTCTTTTACATAGGTGCAGATACTAATTTATTTATGTTTCCAAGGAGTCTAGAAGCGATTGTGTGTGTTTGCCGGCAGCCGCTGGAACGCAGGCAGGCGGCGGCCGGAGCGAGGGACGCGACAATTCCAGGGCCGCTGCTGCCACCTGGCTGTCACCCTGCCCAAACTGCGGCACCCAGGGAGTGAAAAAGGCTAAAAAAAACAAACCCAAACATGATATTTGAAACGTTTACTCAATACACTGATAATAGGTCCAGATTACATTTATTGAGTATGTTTTATAACTATGATTTCTGCAAGCTTTTATAAAAAAAACGCAAAAGGCAAAGTGCACTGCGCAAAAAAAAGCAACAATCTTAAATGGGATGCAACATTGTTTTTTTCTCCAGAACTAATAAAAAACACTGATTGACGCTTACTGATTTCTCTGGTTAGCTCCCAGCATCTGCGAATACCTAGCACGAAACTTTAAATCCTGGTTCAATTTTGCATAAACACAGTCAAATGAGAATATTTTCATGAGCACTAAGGACTCACTAAGTTTCTTGAGACTCATAAACAACATATATCCAGAAACATGCCTAAGCATTCAGCTGACTGGCATAGAATAACCTGGCTACAAAACCAGGAAACCTATTTCCCATCTGCATGGCTGGAGTAGCATAGAATATTAAACACATCCTATATATTTCTCTGCCCAGTCTAAACTGTGTACTCTGAAAGGAATGGGCTTTAACAGCAGCTGAGAGCACTCTCAGAAATTTCTTTCAACACCCCTGCCATACATCAAGAATATTCCACACTGCAGGGGTACAGTCAACCATTGGTAAGTGACCCATACTTATGACACAGCTGACACATCAGTAAAAGATCTGATCCAGAGGGAACGCAGCAGGCACCTCTGCCTGCTTTTCCTGGCAGAGAGACTTGTGGAGAAATATCCTGGTATTTCAGGTGCACAGGAAAATGATCAGCATCAGATCTCTCTACGTGGCAAAATGAAGTAGTACCAAATACAACTCCCACACTGAACCTCTACTCTCAGAAGAACTGAAGAGTTCACCAGCAAAAAGGTAACAGAGTGATGGTACAATAAATACTCTTGTCATCACCTTTATTGTTTACCCTGTAGTAAACCAGCTCGTACTGTTTTGGTACAGACTCCACCAGAATCCATGTAGGAAGCACCAACACATTGGAAGAACAAAAATGGAAAACAAAAGCATTGGGTACTTATCTTAAAATAAGTTTAAAAATTTAAAGTTTTTGAAAGCACCAACTTAAAGAAAATTAAGTTGGTGCTAAATATTAGCTAGATGCTTCATTTGTGTCTCTGCTGATACAGTCCTGACATCACAGAATCTCATGTTTCCTATTTCACTGGAAACTGGTTCCCCTGGGCTAATTGCATAAAACATTATCCAAATGATATCACATGCCATGCATCCCCCATGCGTGACAGGGTTCTAACTAGGGAAGTTTTGAAGACTGCTGTGAAAAGTACAGGGATGTAATGTCCATGTGAAACTATCCTCAGTCTTTGTGAGAAACAAGCAGAGCTGCCAAGTGGATTGGGTCCCCTCAGGCTTATGTCCAGAAAAGAAATGAAGTTACCAGAAATTCAGTCTGCTTTAATGGCAGGAAAACAGCAGGCTATTACCTATGGCATTAAATGAAGTACCAGGGGTAACAACCACTGTCTTCATATTCTTTCAGAGTTCTGAAAATAAGGGGGGGGAAAAAAATGGTCACTGCAGATTTTCCCCTTTTCCCCACAGTCATCACCCTCTAAAAGGTCTCAGCTGCTATGTTATTTTGTATCCTTATGCTCGATTGCACAGGTGTTACACAGCAGAATTGTGGTGGGTTGACCCTGGCTGAACACCAGGTGCTGACCAAGCCACTCTGTAACTCCCCTCCTCAGCAGGACACTGTGGGAGAAAATAAGATGGACAAAATCCTCATGGATCAAGATAAAGGCAGTTTGATAAAAAGAAAAGGCTGCACATGGAAGCAAATGAAAAGACAAGGTTCATCCTTACTCCCCATCAGCAGGCAATGTCCAGCTATTTCCCGGGAAGCAGGGCTTCAGAGTGTGTACCAGCTGCTTTGGAATACAAACACAGTAACAACAAATGCCTGGCTCTCTCCTCCCCACACCCTTCCCTTTCCAGCCTTAAGTGTTGTATCTGGGCAGATAGCTTACATTATAGAATATCCTCTGGTCAGTGGGTCAGCTGTCCCATCCCAAGATCTTGGCCACCCTGACCTCCTGGCCAGGGAGAATGCTGGGGACACAGCCTTGATGCTGTGGAGGGCTACACAGGAGTGTAATTGACACCCTTCTAGCTACCAATGCAAAGTACAGCATTGTCAATGCTGTGCTTTGTCACAGATGCTATGGGAAAATTACCCCACCTCAGCCAGAGTCAACAGAAGAGTTCCATTCAGCAAGCTAGTAAATTCTTTTTTTCAGTCTTTTCAGCAATTACTTGATTCTTAATCTCTACATTTAATGCCTAAGTACTTTCATTGCAACCTTTTGTTTTGTTCTCAGAGTCTTTCCTGTATGTGAACACCAATTTGAGTAACTTTCCTTCACAGGTCCCAGCTTTTTGCAGGATACAATCAGGATACTTATTTAGTTCTTCCAACTAAATCAGAGGGAATCTGTAAGAACAGCTACCTTGTTAAAAGTCTGGATTCACCTGAAGTTGAGGTGGTCCTCCTCAGATTAAACTCATTGTAGTTTGGGTACTGTTGAAGTACATCCAGTTTAAATTCATGTTTACTTAAACACAGGTTTAAAAAAAGCGATCTGATCATAGTAGATGTATACAAATCAAATCACCATGAATAAATTAATTAATATTTAAAAGAAAGAGCTATTTAGAAAATAAAAGGAAAAAAAATCACAGAAATACGGCTTCCAAAAGCAACTTGTAATAAATAACTGTGAGACTTTGAAATCTCTAGTTACGCTATTCAATGAAACGTAATAAGGAACTAAGATTTCTTTTTTTTAAGCTGCATCTTAATTAGTAATTGTTAGCTATGACATTCAGTGCATATAGAGCATTTTTCATCTGCTACTAATTAGAAAGGAAAAATCTGAAGAATTACTTAGAAAATCATAGCCTAGGTATTAGCACACAAACAATGAGAGTAAGAATTGAATATGTTTATGAAAGACAGGGAATTTGTTTGTCTAATAGAAGCAGTTGATAGCATTGTGAAGTTTGCTAAAAGGCAACAGAAGCTGCTGTTCCAAATTTAGAGGCAGTCAGGAAAAGGACAAGTTCCACTGAGTGTAGAAGAGTACATCACATATTCTCAGACCCCCTGGAAAACATGAAACAAGGGGGAGCCTATTACCTGAATTTTAAGTTTTTCTGTTGTGATAGAAAAAAAAAAAAATCAGGTTGTGGAAAACAACAGAGTTGTTTTTTCTGGGGCAGGGGTGATTTCAGGCCTGTAGGTACCTAGGTGCATAGTAATATCAAAGAAATGTGTCTGCTGTATGCAGAAGTAGTTTACCACTGAGGTGTTACATGTGGTCCACAGAGGTAGGAAAAAATCCAGAATTGAAATCTAGACTGTTACACAGAATCTGAAAATCACTTCCACTGCAAGTATACTCTGACACAATGAGAGCAGCAGAGGCTCAGAGCATGACTCAAGAAATGGTGCAAAACACTATTCTTTAGGACCTGGTAAAATTTCTGAGATAAAGACTTTATCAGAAGAACATGCATGAATTAAAGTTGTTTATATTAGAAAGTTAAATTCAAATGAAAGGCCAGTTTTGAAACAAAAGGCATTTTCACTGGTTGCCTGCTAAGCCCCAGAGATCTCAGAAAGAGGAATTTTCCTTCACAAGCTTGCAAACACACCTTTCATGCCCTTGGCAAAGTATTTCTCAATCCTTCTAAACCTTGCTAGACAGGCTCACAGAATGACAGAATACACTGAATTGGAAGGGGCCTGCAAGGATGGGCCTTAAATGAATGACTTATACGGGGATTAAACCCCCATTAAATCCTTGGCATTATTAGCATCATGCTCTAACAAACTGAGCTGAACTCAGTCTTGCCAAAAACATGTATCATTATGATCATATATGACCCCAGATTTATTTTTCTTTTTCTTTTTTTTTTTTTTTTTTTAAATACACACTCCCCTTTATTAGCTTCCCTTGTTTTACCTTTCCATCATGTTTTTTCTTAGACAATTATGTGCCTGCCCGGTAAACAAATTTATCCTGGTCTTCTGTTTTGGTAAGGCCTCAGTTAAGCCTACAGTACGTGTATACACATATATTCAGAATCATGCTGCTTGCTCACCCCCCTACTCCAGGTTCCCCACTCCATTCTGAAGCAGCACCCTTTCAGACTATTGGCCCTTTCCACACATCAAGATCTATCACCCCACACCTGTTTAATTATAGCTTAGCTCAGGCTATGGAATTACTAGACTGCTTTTAAAGCAGAATCACAGACTTGTCAGGGTTGGAAGGGTGATGACCTGGCTCAACCCCCCTACTGAGGCAAGGGTCACCTGGGGCAGGTGACACAGGAATGTGTCCAGGTGGGTTTGGAATGTCTGGAGAAAGGGAGACTCCGTGACCTCCCTGGGCAGCCTGTTCCAGTGCTCTGCCACTCTCAAGGTAAAGAAGTAAGTTCATACCTAGATGGAACTTCTTGTTTTAGTTGATGGCCATCACTCCTCATTCTGTTTCTGGGCACCACCAAAAAGGGTCTGGCACCATTCTCTGCCTTTGAGATATTTATATGCACTGATGAGCCCTCCTCCCAGTCTTCTCTTTCCTAGACTAAACAGGCCCAGCTCCTGCAGTCTCTCCTCGTAAGTGAAATGCTCCAGACCTCACATCAACTTTGTGGCTTCCACTGGACCCTCTCCAGTAGCTCCCTGCCTTTCTTGTAGTGAGGAGCCCAGAAGTGCCCACAGCACTCCAGATGCACCCTCATCAGGGCTGAGTAGAGGGGCAAGGTCACCCCCCTGGACCTGCTGCCCACACTGCTCCCGAGGCACCCCAGGACACCACTGGCATTCCCGGCCACGAGGGCACTGCCGGCCTATGGTCAGCCTGTGATTCACCATGACGTTGATGCTTCACCTCATTTTTTTCACCAATTTTTTTCCAATAGCTACGCACGGCTTCTTTTGCAGCTGCATCACGTAAACATTTAGGTTACAGGGGAACCTTTTTCCACTCAGATGTCAATGTGCTCCGCAGCAGAGGGCCTCTGAGAGGAGCGCTCCGAGGCTGGAGTGCCCCGAGCAGCCCGGGGCCCCTCAGCTGGGGCCGGCCGAGCTCCGCCTCGCTCCGGCCCTGTCCCGGCCACACACGCCCGGAACTGACACGGGCAGAGGCGCCCATTTCCCGTCCTCGCCTGCCGCTTCCGGGTCGCGCGCCGGGTTCCACTGGAGACGGCGGCGCGGGAGCTGCGGGGCGGGCGGCGATTCCCGTCCTCCTCCTCCTCCTCTTCATCTTCCTCCTCGTCTTCCTCCTCGTGCTGGTGCCGCTCGTGGCCGCCGCGGGCTGTCCCGGGTGAGCGGGGCCGGGCAGGGCGCCGGCTGTGCGGGTGCCCGCGGGAAGGGAAGGGGAGGCCATGGGGGCCCGGGGCTGCAGTGCCGGCGGCGCTCTGGCTGCAAGGTCTCTCCCTCTGACAGTGTAGATTTATCATCCTTCCCCCCGCTCCATCACTAAACAAAGCCAAAAAGAGTGCCCTTAACCGAAAACTCGCGGGTCCGTGGGTCCCTGCTCTTGGAGAGCATCCCCGTGTCCCCAGGGTAGAAGTGGGATTTTACGAGGCCGCCCTAGAGCCGCGTACTCTGTTCCTGCTGGCATGCTTCTCCTCCTCGGGGATGTGTGTTGACTCTTTAGGGTACGTGTGGAGTAGCGTTTCCTCGGCAAAGGTGAGTTTGACTTGTCACGGCTCAGCTGTCCAGGGAGGTGGAGCGGTGCAGGCAGCACACGGTGATGGTCACTTTCTTCCTCCTTCAGTGGGACAAACATGGTACCCTGTTAAGTCCTTTAATTCATATTTTCTTTGAAACCAGCCGCTGATTTTGGGTCAGCTAAAGGTTGTGTGGTCGGTTGTGGTTGTGTTCTGGCTAATGCCGAGCACACCCAGACCTGGGAAAAAAAAAAGAGTAATGCGTCCCAAACTGGTGAAAGAGCCTCAGTCTTTCTGGAGTAACTACTGGCCTCTGTTAAACAGAAATTCATGGAAAAAGTATTTTCACTGAAATGCAAGAGATGCTTGTATACTTCTAGCAACCAAGCTTGTTTTCTGAATATTCATCTTAAAGGTTGATACAATTGCACTCAAAGCCTTTTAAATTTCTGTTTAAATTTATGTGGCTAAGAAAAAACATGACATTGTATTTCTTCCTGCAAATTGTAAACATTTCATATCTCTCTAATGCTTTATTTTTTTTTCAGATTAATAAAATTACTGGGCATTGTAAAGGAGCTAGAATGGGAGTGAAAGGAGCTTTAATTATTTAGTCCCAATTAGGTATTTTGAATATAGAAACATGGGAATACTTTGGGTCTTGTTTTTGAAGTTGTAGGAATTCCGCTGGTCATAAGAAACAGGAATTAATCTTGTTATTTGAGTATTTCCTCTTTTCTGATGGTAACACTTGATGAAAACATTGAAGTTCAAAATGGCTTGTTTTAGCTTTTAACTGATTGCTAATTGCTTTAAATTAGTCTGTGGATTTTAATAAATATTTTGACTGTAATCTATCATTTGGATTCTGTAGCTTTTCTCTTGATTGTCCAGCTTGAACTGGGACTACCAGAGTGTGGTATGCTAATGCAAGTCATTGGTATGAAAGGTGAATTTCTTATCTCCTCTGTAATATAAGAGTTTTACAACTATTTGTGTGGTGCTTATTTTTAAAATTTCACCATTTTCTCCAGGTTTAAGTTTGTTTTATCATACAAGTTCCTCACTGCCATAATGAGGCTAGTAATTCTTGAAGATTATGATCAGGCTAGTGAATGGGCAGCCAAATACATCTGTAATCGTATTATCCAGTTCAAGCCGAGTCAAGGAAGATATTTCACGCTTGGTCTACCAACAGGCAAGTTTTATTCAAAGTCTTTGTAAATAACTAAGCCTAGAACAATGTATCACTGATAGCACATACTGTATTTAAAAGAACATAAGTATTATTTTTGGTAATATTCTAACTTTTTTTAAAAAATATGGATTTGATTTCTGTGAAAAGTTGTGATAGTTTGAGAAACTGATAAATACTAAATGAGAAACAGTAGATTGCTTGTATGTTGAAATGCATAGTAGCAAAATTTGACTGTGAAGACATTTAAATACACTGAAAATGTTGTGCAGATACACAGAACAGTAGAAAAACTTTATTTAACAGGGAGTACACCTTTGGGATGCTACAAAAAGCTGATAGAATATCACAAAAATGGAGATCTCTCTTTCAAATATGTAAAGACTTTCAACATGGATGAGTATGTAGGTAAGATGTGCTATTATTTGAGAACATACTGTACTGTTATTTTTTTTTCTCCTTATAAAAACTATTAAATATTTTTGTCAAAGTACCAGATTAGTCTAGTATGTTTGTATTCCTATATTAAACTGGTGTCCAAGCATTTTCCTCTATTCCTTTATCTACAAAAATGCAAAAATAAACACTGGGTTAAATTCAGTGTTTCACGGTATTTCTGTAGAAATTACATTGCCATGTAATACTGGGACTGCATTTCTGTTGAAGAATTTACACTCTGGGATAAGATGTATGTGGAGGTAATGTAAACCAGTTACCTTGTACATGCCAACAGGAATCCTTTCTTCTTGATGTAGTTTGAAATCTTGCTTTATTTGACTCAGGTTTGTTTTGCATGCCTTACACTAGTTACATACAGACTAGAATTAAGGCTGGTTGTTTATGTCTTGCCATATGGTAATTTCAGGGCTTCCCAGAAATCATCCAGAGAGCTATCACTCCTATATGTGGAATAACTTCTTTAAGCATATTGACATAGATCCGAATAATGCTCACATCCTTGATGGAAATGCACCAGACTTACAGGCGGAATGTGATGCATTTGAAAAGAAAATTGAAGAAGCAGGGGGGATTGATCTGTTTGTTGGAGGTATGAGGAAATGCTCTGATTATTTACAATTCAAGCATGTACATCAGTTCTTTAATCATTATTTCCATAACTTAACTAAACCCCAGATTTTTCAATTATTGTGTAAGACAGTTCTGTGATTAACGAAGAATCAGTATAAATTCCCGAACAGAAAGGTTGGTGTCCAAGTTACTAATGACTTAAGCAAGTTTTTCTTGAAAATGGGGAACCAAAGGGAAAGGATGAGTCCTTTTTTATTAATTTACCATGTTTTAGGCTATGTGTTCACCCCTCAGGTCTGGAATGATTTATTTTTTTTAACTTTGAAAAGGCATTGGTCCAGATGGCCACATTGCATTCAATGAACCCGGATCAAGTTTGTCTTCAAGGACAAGATTAAAGACTTTAGCGATGGACACCATTTTGGCAAATGCTAAATACTTTGATGGAGACTTATCTAAAGTACCAACTATGGCGCTAACAGTTGGTGTGGGTACAGTGATGGATGCTAGAGAAGTAAGAACTCATTTAGTTCTAGTTGCATGTGTGTTTTCAAGATTAGTTGGTATTGATACTGGGATTGGAAGTAAAGAGACCTTTGTTTCGCAGGTGATGATTCTTATAACGGGTGCACACAAGGCTTTTGCATTGTACAAAGCAATTGAAGAAGGAGTCAATCATATGTGGACAGTTTCTGCTTTCCAGCAACACCCTCGCACTATCTTTGTGTGTGATGAAGATGCTACTTTAGAACTAAGAGTTAAAACTGTGAAGTACTTTAAAGGTGAGCACTGAATCAGAGGTCACGTGTTTACTCATAACCAACAGCTTTGAAATTATATTGATTTAAATCTGAGCCTTCCAACACTTGGCAGACACTATGTATAAAGTTATATAGTCAAAATATTAAATATTAACTTATTTCTTATGTTTGGAAAATTGTCAGGAGGCATAACTTGTGCTACCTCCATTCCAGACAAATCTAATTGGGAAGAGTATTTCCTTTGCTTCCAGTTTGAAACAATAGTTTATTATCTTGAACTTCAAACAGCAGCAATCTGGTGTTCCAGAATACAGGTCTTAAGTATATTGGAAAGTTTAGCTTAAAAAAATCTTAATACATTTATTAATCCTGATACATTTCCATGCTGCTTTTGCTATGTGCTGTAATGTGATGTCTGGTAAACTGTGATACAGACTTTGAAGCCACCTGAGGACATTTTTCATATGCAATTAGCATAACAATCTATACTGCCTTTTAAAACATAGCACCCTTTTAATGTGTGTGTTTTTCATATTTGTAGTAGGTATAATGGGCCAAACTTAAAGTAAATCAGGATATATGATAGTAATTGAGACTTCTTGGACTGAATTCTGTTTCACTCAGACAGTAGAAGCTGAGAAAAGTAGTTTTCTCCTGACTCTATTAGCACAGCACATGCAATTGCGTGACTCAGCTGTCTTTCTTACTAGCACAGGTACCTGTAGTAGCTGAGGTATCAAGACCGTAATTTATTAAATTATTTCTTAGAGCATTGTATCAGCAGTGCTCATATATGTATTAGATTGCAATTTGGACATTTCTGTGATTTTTATCCTGGTACCTCTTTGTGGCCAGCTTGTTAATTTTGGATTTTTCAGTATGCTGTTCTCTGCTATGTATTTGTGGGCTAGGAGGGAAGGTCAGTCTCTTCCTGTATCATACTGCTAGATAGTACTTACTGTTGTTTTCAAAGATAAACTTCTTTAACTGCTTGGATAAGTTTTAAACGTTATCCTGTATTTTATATAAGCAGAGGCTTTGCTTGAGAAATACAAATCTAATGTAGAATCACTAGGTATAAATGACACTGAACATTGCTTTAAAAAACATCAAGGGCTACAATTTATGAATGTGTGCTATTGTGTCACTGTATCTAATTACCCTGTAATACACAGCAATAGAACTTTTAAAAAGATGGTACTTTAAACTTACTTAATTTTACCTACTCTCCAATCAGTGAGATTTTTTCCCTTTATAAGATGGAGGAGAAATCAGTATGGATCAAATTTGGAATTATTTCTGAATTTGATCTTCAGGTTAGACTTATTAGGGAAGCTAGGTTGTTCTTAATACTGCTGTTTATGGTAGTGATTTATGGAGACTTTTCAGCACTTAAAACTTTCAATATGAAACTTCAATTTTTTTGTTTTATAATCAAGTGCCACACTGGCTGATAAACAGATTAACCTCTTCAATTTTTTCTAACTTTCTGAAAACCTATAACAGGCTAAAATTATCAAGTGTGCTTATGGTCTTGCTGTAAAAGGGAAAATAACTTTCTTGAAGAATGAAACAGAAAATTAATTTTGAATTTACTAATTTGCCTGCAGATAAGTTAGTTCAGGATATTTTTTTCCATACTTATGCTGTATGTATCCTCTTAAAACTGTGCAGAAATTTGTTTATTCAAAGCATACTTGAATATACAGTGTGACTTTCCTTTGAAATA